AGAGATTACAAAAACAACTGGCAACAACTCTATTAACTCCATTAGAGCATTATTTTTAATCTTAAACTGAATCAGCAGAGCTAAATTTTTGTTATTACATATTGTAAATTTGTGTAAGACATATTCCCTACTTGTGGAAGAGTTAAAAATATCTTAATATGTCAAAAAAATGAAGACTAATCTAGCATTAATTTATACCTAAAGTACAGTTGCCTGTCATAAAAATATGTCAAGAATCAAACACTAGCAGTGGATTGTGGCTTCTGTTTTGTCTTTTTGATCACTGTCTCTTTATTTTATTATTTTTGCTTTGCTACCTGGGCTGTGTCAAAAGGAGTGTGGCCAGCAGCTCAAAGGAGCTGATTCTTCCCCTCTACTCAGCTCTTGTGAGATCCCACCTGGAGTACTGCATACAGTTCTGGGGTTCCCAACATAAGAAGGACATGGAACTGTTTGGGTTAGTCGGAGGAGGCCACGAAGTTGATAAGAGGACTGAAGCATCTCTCCAGTGAAGACAGGCTGAGGAATTTGGGGCTGTTCAATCTGGAGAAGAGAAGGTTGCATGGAGAACTCATAGCAGCCTTTCAGTGTCTGAGGGGGCTACAGGGAAACCGGAGAGGGACTCTTCATTAGGAACTGTAGTGATAGGACAAGGAGTAATAGGTAAAAATTGAGAGGAGGGAAATTTAGATTAGATATTAGGAAGAAATTCTTTGCTGTCAATTCTTTACTGTAGAACAGGTTGCCCAGGGTGGTTGTGGATGCTCCAACCCTTGCAGTGTTCAGAGCCAGGTTGGATAAAGCTTTGAGCAACCTGGTCTAGTGGGAGGTGTCCCTGCCTATGGCAGGGGAGTTGGGACTAGATGATCTTCAAGCTCCATTCCAATCCCTTAATATTCTATGATTCTATTCTGCAAATGAATCAGGAGTAGAGCTGAAAGCAGATTAGTTACTACAGCACCACAGTCTTCTACAAGGTAGTATCAGAATGATTTATTTTAATTTGTGTCTCCAACTTAAGTGACCTGACCAAGGGTTTGTATCTGCCCTTTGATAGGGGAATTTTGCTAGCCAAGTGCCTTCTGAAGAACTGCTAGGTGATTTCTCTGTCAGAGACTTCAGGTAGAAGAGCTTTAATGAATTCAAGGCAGTTGTGCAATGGAAAAGGACTGTTATTCTTACAAGCTTACAAGTGGCAATGAGACATATGTCTGACGTATATCTGAAAATTTTCCATGCTGAAACATAAAAAGGTCACATTTTTAAAATTTACTGTCCTTAACTTTAAAAGTGAAGATAATTGTCTTTTTTATTGCAGCATAGCAATTCTGGACTGTTTATAATTTCTTGATACTGCAGGTAATTCAGGTGGTGCTTCTACAGTTTTGTATGTGTTCTTTTCTAATGCCTGGGGAAGAAGGAAGGGAAGAGAAAGCTGGAACATTTACTTGTGGATCTGTTTGGTGTATTCATCTGTGCTGTGCATTTATTGCCTATCATGCCTATTTGAATAAAAATGAAAATCAGCAGTTTACTATCTGCTTGATTTTTCTAGCTAGAAATGTGTTCTAGACTGATACAATCATAGCCACATACAGAAAAAAAAAGAGAAAATTCTACAAAAAGCTTACATAGTGGATCTTCTGTTAAACCTCATTTATACTGCTGATGGTTTTTCTGCAAAAAATAAATGCTGACTGATGTAGATTATGTTCTGGATGTGAACAGATGAGTTACATGACATCATGGTGTGTGCAAAATAGGTCTGTGATGTTGGAGGTACATTCACAAGGCACATGAATGTAGCATCCATATTTGTAGCTGCTTTGCTACACACAGGCTTTCCAAGAATAGTGTGAAAGAGTTGGATATCCAAGATTTCAAGAAACCAAGTTAGATCTAAGTTGACTCCAAGATGGAGTGCTGAGGGAGGGAGATGGAAAAGAATTGGGTAGCTATATACTCTTAGAAAGCAGCCCAAGATTTGAGCCATTTGGCAAGGTCAGATGTTTCGCATGAAAAACACTGAAGCTGCCGAGTCTCTTCTTGTGGCTGAAGAGTATATGGGTAGAGTGCTCAACTAGTGTGAATCCTGTCTTCAACTTGATTTTAGAGGCTGTGAAATCTGTCTTGCTTGATTCCCAGATGAGTTAACTCACTGTACCTTGGAGAGTGTAGCTTTCATTGTTTTCCACTGACATAATTAATGCAGAATTTCCCTCAGATTTTGAAAAGTTTGCTAAGCACTGACTTCCTCTTGGAGCCGAGGAAACTGAAGCAAATATATCAAGTAACAGACTTAAAAGTTACAAAGGGGGTACACTTGGACCAGAAGTGGAGCCTAGAATTTCCAGGTTCCCAGGGGACTCTATGACTCCTAAACTTTATTATGCTTAAGCTGATATCTTAATTCTTGCAGCAGTAAATAAAAGTGTCAGAGAGAAGCTGGGAATTCAGAGTGATACCGTATTTCTTAGCTTGATTGTATCTTAACAAGGTGTAGCACAGCTGTTTATGTGAACCAAAACGATGATAATTTGCTGCATGCCACAAAAGTGAGGATGTGGTAGTTATATCTTGGGAGCCATCATCTGGGCAGCCTCTTTATTTAATGTTCATAGTACTCTTCTAATTCATTTCCTCAGCACTGAAGATGTAGGGTTAAGATACAGTTAGAAGCTTTCTATTTAAACTTTGTAAAGCAGCTTGAGAGAGAAGAAGAGGGTCCAAAGAGCTGTACACTTTTATAAAGAGCTGTAATTGCACCATTCTAAGGCATAGTAGTTGCAAATTACATCAGTCATTTAACTGCCACTGCAGCTTTGATTATTTTAGCATAGTTTCCTACTGAAGGATAAAAATGCATTAAACTTGAGTCAGGAGTTTGCTATTAAGAGGATCCAGTCTTAACTGCTCTTGATACAAACAGTGGTTTTCAGCCTCATGGCTTTTCTATCGAGGAGGGGTTTCAAACTTATTTTATTTCAGAACACAGTTTGGATCTATGATTTTTCTGCTTTTATAAGATCTTTGCAGCCTTTTGGTCTTCATGGGGCTTTCGGGAGATTGTAATAAATTCTTCTGAAACTTGTGGTTGTGCATTGATTCGTCATAGACGCAATTTCTGCCCAGTTAGAAATCAAAGGTATATCTACCAAGTTTCCAGAAAAAAAAAGAATACTTGGGAGCGTGGATCTTCTCCCCTTTTCTGCAGTTGAAAAAGTGGGAGTGTAACTGGGGTGGGGAAACCCATTCCAGGTCCCCTTCCTGACTGAGGGCAAGCAGCCCCATGTATAAAGAAGACCTTCTACGTCCTTTTCCTCTAGGGTGCATGACTCTGTGTGGTTTCTGATCACTCACCGATGAAGGTTTGCAGCGGGAATATTGTGTGTGTGCAGGCTGCCTGATGTTCAGTCTATTTTGGCAAGGAAATGTCACTTGTACAGGATGTACAGGAATGACCTGTTCCTCCAGGGGTAAGGTGAGACCAGTCACAAAAGGCTAGTTGCATTAAGTATGAGGAAAGAAAAAGTATAACTTGGACATGGAAACTGTTTATATATGGCTGTTTATATATGGCTGTATCCATGACAATTTTCCTGCTGTTCTCTGCATTTGAATGCAAGGAAGCAGTCACAGAAGGACCGTTAAGCTCCTTGGAGTCCTATAGGAACAAACAGAATACAGACTTGTCTGAACCTTTAATTTAACCTCACGTTTGTTCACCACTTTATTTTCTTTTCAACCACCTAGTAGTTCGGACCTCAGAAACCTCATGTAGATCAGCTTCAGTACTGCTAGCAGAAGAAAGGCTAATGGTATTTACTTAGTAGTTGTGCCACAGTGTGTTTTCTACATCACCTGGAAACAAAATAAAGCTTAACTCAGTAATGGACATGCATGCTGTGAAGATATTTGTATGGATAATACAGTGTTGCATTCTTTTGTACTGCTGCCAGTCAAACATTTAGTTAAAGCACTTGGCAAATGCTAATGAATTTGTTCCCACAATGGAAGCAAAGACATGACAGCCAACATTTTTCAAATTTAAGTATCTAAAATTAGACACCAAAGTGTTTTTAGAACCCATAATAAAAATGATTGAATTTTTACAACTGTGGAATACTCACAGCTCTCTGCTAGTGGCTTCATTACTCATAAAAAGTATAAGCATTTGTGGAAGATACACAGTTTCTCCCACCAGTGTGGAAAGAAAAGCCTCGTCCTATTAAAGTTAATTGCCAAGCACTCATTCATGTTCGGGGAGTCAGTACTTAGTTCCTTGGTTCTGGGATGGCAGCAACTGATGCTGTGTCACTGGGGCTGCTTCTGAGGGTTTTGAAACTGATTTCAGTGGGAGTTTTGCAACTGTTGTCTGAGGACTGGACTGGCTAACTGCTCTGGTAAGTAGTTGTATATATGCCTGTTTACATCATAGCAGTTTTCAGTCCTAGAGCCGACAAAAAGAGGAACAACAATAGCAACGACAAAGTTGACCATACCTTTGGTCAGCAAAAAGATATAACACAATAGAGAGGGACCACAGGCTTGCTGAAATGCAATGACACCAGAAAACAAGGGTGAAATTAGAAAGTAGTTTAAATTCTCATAAGGATATGGAGAAAAAAGAAAATTGTTGTCCATCATGCTAGCAAACAAAATACTTCCCCAGAGAGGGAGGAAGGGAGGAAAGCAAGAGTCTTAAATCAGCCCCACAGATAAGTATCGGGTTGCAAAACAAAGAACTTCATTTTAACATATGAGCTTGAAAAAGCTGCTTATTTCTTAACCAGTAATTCTTCTAGGGCTATACATGGTTTAAAATAATCTTAAGAAAATTAGATTTATCTAGCAGTAAAAGGTTTTCATTTTTTTTGATGTTTATTGGATTTTTGACTCATCCTGTTTTAACTCCTTATGAATCTTGAACTTTTGGATGACTCTGCCAGATGCAACTTTCTTCCCAGACTGAATTGACCGGGAAACACAACATGGACAACAGCACTGCTGAAACTCCCCATAGGGCTGCAACATGCAATGAGACTTGGCCCACTCAGTTGCCAAGCTCTGAGTTTTCCCTGGGCTTGTTGGTGCTGCTGGCTTTCCTCATGGTGTTGCTAGCTCTGGTCACCATCCTTGGAAACATGCTGGTGATCCTTGCTTTCATCATGGACAGAAACCTCAGGCATCGGAGTAACTATTTCTTTCTGAATCTTGCTCTTTCTGACTTTGCAGTGGGTAAGTCAGAGCCGTGGAGGCATGTATGGTTTGTGTCCTGGGAATCTTAGGAGAAGCAATGGGGTTTATTTTCAGTGTGGTTTCTTCTAAGAGAACAATTTCCCATCTGTGTCTAGTGGAAGAGTAAGGAACAGTGGGAGCTGCATGAAGTGTTTCAGCAGCCTATTATTTTTCAGGAAGAAATGAATCCATCCTCAGGTAAACAGGTAACATTTACTGTTATTGCTTCAGGATAAAATACTACTGTGTGTGAATTATGTGGAATAGCAAAGAAAGGGAGTTGTTTGTGAAGAGTTTTGTGTAAAGTCTAGATAGCCAAATTAAATACAGCATGTATTCTGGCAGATCTTGAATATATGGTCGATATCTTCTATTTCAGTCTACTCTCACACAATTCAGATAATCACCTGAAGTTTGCAACTAAATCATGAAGAATAGTATTTTTAAACATTTTTCTGTACATGCTCTATCCAGATTAATACCTTAGGAATATGTGTTTGTATAGGTAAATAGAAATAACATAGTTTCTACAAAGTTTGATGTTACACATATATGTGTATATATAGCGACACATTTAATTTTGAAACTTGTACTGAGAAAAAGTACAATTAAAACATGAGTGTGATGTGAAACTGGAGATAGATGTGTTGCAATATTCTGTGAAGTGCTGAGTGTCTCTGATAAGAGTCTTGGTTAAATTATTGAGTGTGCAGAAGGATGGTTTTGAACAGCTGTGGCTATTTCATGAAATCTGTATTCTGACTTTTCATACCACAACAAAATATTTTAAAACTGTCTTTATTCTACTTTTTTTTAACCTACACATTTAAAAATAATACTGAAAGAACAGAAGAAACTCTTCTTAAAATTTGTTGCCAGTGTCAGAAGTTGTATTAGGGGCACAGCTTCTAATAGTCCTGTTCTTGTGATGTCCAGATCTTTGTATAATGTTTTGATCCCTTCCCCCATATGCTTGATGTCTTTTTCCAGCTTATATCTGCCTTGTGCTGCAGAGCTCTTGCTGCCTGCTGTGCAGTTGTAGCACACAGGAAAAAAACACAATTGTGGGCAGAAAACCAGTGGACTAAGTGGTATTCTGTCATCTGGCTCACAATCTAGCACTGTATGGATCAAATACCATCACCTAGCTGAGAAGTACACAGTAAATATTGTCCTCAGTCAAAGTAGAAAGTAGAGCTTACTTGGCATTACCTAATTTCCATAAATTTTTGTTTCATGATATTGTGTTTACCCAAATGTCTAGTTTTTAATTTTAGGTTGCTTAAAAGCTTTGGCTATGTTAGAGTCAAACTGATTTGCATTTCTGTAGCTACATAATTCAGATTCAAGGTATATCTAAATTATCCTTACTTTCTGCTGGATCTAAATTACTAAAAGCTTGCAGAGTTGTTTGCTTATTCTTTTAACATATCTAGTCTATCTGATTTTGACATTCAGCAACTTTGGCTTTATCTCTGTGCTTCTGGACCTATAGGTGCATTTGAATAATGATCTCTTGATTCTTAGTAGAGGGAGAATAACAGGAATTGGAAGACTATTATGGAAATGGAAACTCTCAAGATACTTTCCAGTACCTGTTTCAGGAGTACACACTATTATGTACTAAATCTGAAGTTGAAATCATAGCTTTTTCCCCCCTGTGAATGTTAAAATCTACAACATAATTTTTTGTTCAAAAGAGCAAGTGTTAGTTGCTCTGTAAATGCAGTGATGCCATTTCATTGCAGCTTTGATGCTGTTCACTGCATTTCTGCATCCCAGCAAACTACACCGTTTCAGTCTCACAAGGCTGTGTTATGACTGTGTGCAGTGTGATCATTATTCATTAACAAGGTAAAATTCATGAAAATTCATTAAAATGAGGTAATGTTGGCACTTTCACAACATTTGGATGTAACAGCCTAAATTTAGATAGCCATGGGTGTGGTTGGGGTACACGCTGTGGGTGTGTTCACATAGGTAATACCCTATCTGCTCACCACGGAAAAGTGGTTATGATCAACAACTATGATGAGAAGAAAGGCTGAGCTGAGTGTATTTAATTAACTCTGCAGTTTTTGTCACCCTTTTGATCATGTAGTTTTAAAAATTAGTCTGAAACTTGTATTCCTATAAAAGTTACTTCTGGAACATTTTTGGACACCATATCATGCTTCTAAGAGGAGAGAATCATGGCAAAAAGCAGTTAATTACACTGGAGAGAAAGATGTTTTAGTTTGTTTTATTTTCAGTGGTTCATGCAGACTAGTGTTACTTCAGCAGGTAAAAATGTCAGCTGCTTCTTCCTTTAGCAGGTGACATTAACAGGAGAAATAATAATACACAATAAGCACAATACACCATTCAGAGAGCTCTTAATTATAAGAATGTTACTGGTGCCTAGTTTGTAGTAAAGTGTTCATTGGTTGCATGATAATACAAAGCCTTCCATGTGGCAATTCCAGTCAGCATCAATCATGCTTTTATCAGATACTGCAGAAATGTTTCTATGCTTTCATGAGCACTCACAGTACCTGCAGTGCTGACTGACGTGTGTGTTTGGTTTATTTTCATAGGTGCATTCTGTATGCCTTTGTACATCCCTTATGCCCTGACAGGGACGTGGCACTTGGGAAGAGGCCTGTGCAAGACCTGGCTTGTTCTGGACTATCTCGTGTGCACAGCTTCAGTGTTTAACATTGTCCTTATCAGCTACGACCGTTTCCTGTCAGTTACAAAAGCTGTAAGAATAACATTTCTAATTATTTCTTTAGATATATTGAGATTTCATAGAATCATAGAATCATAGAATTTTACGAGTTGGAATGGACCTTACAGATCATCTAGTGCCAACCATCCCGGCCATGGGCAGGGACACCTCCCCACTAGACCTGGTTGCTCAAGGCCTCTTCCAACCTGGCTTTGAACACTGCCAGGGTTGGAGCATCCACTACCTCCCTGGGCAACCTGTGCCAGTGTCTCACCACCCTCACAGGAAAACATTTTTCTAATATCTAACCTAAACTTTCCCTCCTTCAATTTGAACCCATTACCCCTTGTCCTATCATTGCAGTTCCTAAAAAAGAGTCCCTCTCTGGCTCCCTTGTAGTCCCTTCAGATATTGAAAAGTTGCTATGAGGTCTCCACGCACCCTTCTCTTCTCAAGGCTGAACAGCCCCAACTTCCTCAGCCTGTCTTCCCAGGGGAGATGCTCCAGTCCTCTTAGCAACTTCATGGCCTCCTCTGGACTCGCTCCAGCAGTTCCATGTCCTTCTTACACTGTGGGCACCAGAACTGCACGCAGTATTCCAGACGGGATCTCACGAGAGCGGAGAGGGAGAATCACCTCTTTTGGCCTGCTGATCACACTTCTTTTGATGCAGACCAGAATTCAATTGGCTTTCTGGACTGCTGATGCACACTGCCAGCTCATTGTGAGCTTCTCATCCACTGTCACTCCCAAGTTATTCTCCTCATTGCTGGTTGACTTTCTCCAACATTGCTGGTCAATTTCTGTCACAATTAACACAAAAAGCTAAATAGTCCTTCATTATTGTACCATTTTTTTGTCAGGAGAAATTATGATGCTTCAATGTTGCATTTGGATTTAGAGATGGGATATTGCCTTGTCTATGATTTCAATGTTACCCTCCTGCTGCCTGAGTTAGAAACTACCTAATTACACTTCAGAGAAGGTGACATGATCAAGGTAGGAAAGGAACAGCTGGCATGTGGAGAACTTGGGCTTTGGCCATTAGAGGAGTGGTGATGAAAACTAGGTTGAGTCAAGGATGTGCCTAAGGCTTGGACAAATTTTATAAAAAGAGGGTGTGGAGAGAGATGTGGGATGGAATGAGTGAAGATCAGATGAGCATCTGAATTACTGCAGGGGTGACTGACATATGCTGCCAACAAGCAGTTGGGTAGAAACTGATCCCTTGAAACAAAAGGAAGAATGAATCAAAATATAGAGAGGTAAGAGGTGCTTCTTGAGTGTTGTCATTCTTCTGCTTCAGAAGATATCCAAGGAATCCAGTAATAAATATTATCATTCACCATTTCTAAGCTCTACTTGGTGTTTGATCATGGGTTGGAAGGGACCTTAAAGATCATTTAGTTCCAATCCCCTTGCAGGGACACCCTTCCACTAGACCAGGTTGCTTAAAGCCTCCTCCAGCCTGGCCTTGAACACCACCAGGGATGGAGCATCCACAACTTCTCTAGGCAACCTATTCCAGTGCTTCCCCACCCTCACAGTAAAGAATTTCTTCCTAATATCTAATCTAAACTAAACCTACTCTCTTTTAATTTGAAGCCATTGCCCCTTGACCTATCACTACCTGCCCTTGTAAAAAGTCTCTCTCCAGCTCTTTTGCAGACCTCTTCAGGTACTGGAAGGCTGTAGGTGGGTCACCCTGAAGCCTTCTCTTCTGCAGGCTGATGAGTCTGCTGGCTTGACTGAGATAGGCCGAGTTAGATTGGGAGGTTCTTGTTTGGGAAGTGCTGATAGGATGCCTAATCTCTTTCTCTTCTTCCCCAGTGTTGTGGTTTTATAGTTGGTTTTGGCTGCTTTTTGAAGTTATTTTTTCAAAGCTGAAAAATAAAGTATGAAAATCCCTGTATTTAAGATATTAATGAAGTTGCAGAGCTCAGAATGTGAAAAATATATATTAAAAGGGCCTCTGCAGCCCAAGTGAGATCCATGGTCTTATGCAACTGGTGATGGTCTTCATTTACATGATCACAGTCTGGTTTTCGCCTTTAGGTAACTGGGATGGAGTTAGTCCAGGATTGTCTAAAACAGGGCTGTTGTCCAAAAAAATATACTATGCTTCCTCATAGGCTTGGGATGCACCTCTGCCTCTGCTGGAAACATACCTTGGGCCAGAGGCCAGTAATTTCAGATGCAATTATTTATGAAGCTGTGCTGAGCTTCCTGTTTTCTGCCCCAATATTGAGATTCTTGTGGTCTTGCAGAGGGCTGCAAATTCATTTCTACAGTTCTGCAGCTACACACTGAGCCAATATGATGCTTTAAGATGTAGAGGAGTCTGAATCTTCAGGCTACAGGTGTTTGAAACAGAGAATCTGAAATAACATGTATAACACTCCACTACTCCTCTGTTACTCACTAGTGAAATAGGGACAATGGCCCTTGTGTCATATGTGGCTGTGAAGATAACATTCATTAGTATTTGTGTAGTATGAAGGTACTACACTAATGAGCACCATAGGTAGCTGATGAAGAAGTCAGTATTTCTGAGGAAAGCCTGGGATGCCAAATGCTGAACAGTATGGAGGCAGTTAAATAGTCCAGTATTTCATTAACTTATCTTCTTGTGCTCTGAAAGATGTGGGGCACTGAGAGCTAGAAGCATGTATTGCACATACTGGCTGGGCTGTTACAGGGTGTTTTTAACTTTTGTGTTTCATACCTTTGGATGACATGATTTTAGTTAAGAATTTGCTGTCTGGATAGGCATAAACACATCAAGGTTTTCAGTAATGTAGTGAGATGTTTGCAAGCCAAAGAGAATGTTAAAATAGAATGTTTCAATAAAGCAAGGGATATTATAGCATGTGTGTGGGATAGATTTTTCTGCTATAGCAAAGGAAACAGTATTAAAAAATACATTAACTAGTGTCCGCAGTCTCACATCACAATCTGTCTAATACAGAAGGATTTTACTTCTGCTGTGTAGGAAGGCACTCCCACAGCTGCTTTCGCTCTCTGCTGAGCCTGGGCATTTCATGAATCATAAACCAATTTCTTATTGCCATTTTACTGTGTGGTGGAAACAAGCTGTGTCCTTTAACACCTGGAAGCCAAATGGTAGTTTAGCCATCACAGTTTCTGCTCTTCTCCAGTCTGAAGTATTAAAATAAATCACAGAGCTACAGTGCACAAGAAGAAGACTGATAGTTTTTCAGGACCTTACATAGTGAAGATATTCTGGGTGTCTGGGGAAATACAGAACAAATATTATGTTTGGCTTCCTTGCTTGAGACATTTTTTTGAGATAGGTTTTCCAAAATGCTGTCTGAATACATGACATGTCCTTTTTCCTCTCCGGTCTCTTACAGAGCCAAGCAGGGAATAACTTCCACCCCTGCCATCAAGATGGTGGCCATCTGGGTCTTAGCCTTTCTCCTCTACTGCCCAGCAATCCTCTTTTGGGAGCAAGTGGATGGACACAGTGTGGTAGGAGCAGATCAGTGCTATGCCGAGTTCTTCAACAACTGGTACTTCCTCCTGTGTGCGTCCACCCTGGAGTTCTTTGTGCCACTGCTCCTGGTGGCCTACTTCAACATGCACATCTTCCACAACATCCAGAGGCGCCAGCGGCATGGCAGCGTGCAGGACTGTGAACCACCAAGGAGCAGCAGCCTGTCCTGGAGATTTTGCTTCTTGCCAAGATTAGGAGCATCTTCTCCTCCATCTGAAGCAGAGGACAGTGTTTCATCACTGATGAGGTCACGAAAACCAGCAGTGACGGCCAACTCTTCATCTCCAACAGAAACAAATCCTATAGCTCTCAAAAGGAACTTTTCTGTTTCTTTCCAATCAAGGACTGGGTCCAAACTGCAGCGGGATAAGAGAATCGCAAAGTCGCTTGCCGTAATTGTGTGTATGTTTGCCATATGCTGGGCCCCATACTCTTTGCTAATGATTATTCGTGGGGCCTGCCAGGGAAAGTGCATCCCTAACTCCTTGTATGAAATAACCTTTTGGCTTTTGTGGATCAATTCCTCTTTGAACCCATTTCTTTATCCTCTCTGTCATATGAGGTTTCGAATGGCTTTCCTGAAAGTATTATGTCCCAAAAAGTTTGCAACATTGAGATCAGGTAACACACCTTCTTTATAGAGAGTTACAATATATGTCTTGCTGATAAGGTTCCTCTGTTATTTAGTGTTTTTTCATATGTATCTTGAACATAAGCAGATAACCCCCCCATTTGTTTACTAATGACATTGGTTAAGAGTGCATCGGGGTATATATTTGCCCTGATATTGCTAATTTTCAGGATTTTGCTTTTGATTTTGCTGGTATGTTGCCAGATTAATCATAATATAGTGCATTGAAATGAATAACAAGTTTTGCGGGATGTCCTCTTGGTTTGTGAGTTTGAGGTGCCTTTTTTGAGTTTGGTTGTTTTTTTTCTTTTTCCCCTTCGTTTAATATATAGAGCTGGTGCTGTGAAAGAACTCTTCTATAGATATCTCCATAGAGGTTCATGGAAGGGAGATACCTGCTCATATATGTGTTGAAGTAAAATTTATGTCCTATTTGTGAACCTGGAACAATCAGTGATGAAGCAATTCTGCTACATTTTTGAAAGGCTGTATAAATACTCTCATAGGCAGTATGATTTTTGGTTTAAAAACTATTATGAAGACAAGATAGTGCCCTATGGTTGTTGAAATTCCCACAGTGATCAACATGCAAGTGAATGGTCTGCTTAATCTGCCATATCTGTGCTTTTCTAATTTTAGTACAGTTCATACCTGGTGTTGCAGGACACAGTACATGCAAATTAGTAATTCCAAACGATTTTCAGGGAATTAAATTTTCTATGGTAATGGAATTTTGAGATTGGGTATCAAAATTGTTGCAGGCATAAATGGCCTTTTCACCCGTACTGTATTTTCTCCTGACAGTGGCTGCCACTTTGGTCACGCTTAAATGATATTTAGTGCCAGATCTGTGCACTATATGATTGCCTAAGAGATAGGCCAGGCTTGGGCACATGATCACATTCCTGTTGAATTAGCAGAGTAGGCAATGCGAAGTTCATACTGGATTTATGATTTTGGCTGTCTGTGCGAGAATAGACAATAGCCTCTCGGGTGTAAAGCTTTGCAAGTGCAAAGATATTGCATCAAAATGTCTGGAACAAATTTGATCTGACAGAGTGATTTTTATACTTGATCAGTTCTTTGTGTCCTGTTACTGTGACAATATATGGATTTTCTCTGCCACTGAACCAGTATCAAACTGGATTTTTTCTATCAGTGAGCACAGGCCATATTCACTGGTTGAGAATGGGATTCATAGTGGTCTGAAAGCTGACACAGAGGTGTCTTAAGCAGCTGTTAACAAACAAAGCAGTTGAATGTGCAGTGCTGAAAGGGGTGAGTAGATGTGTTGGAGAAGGCAATGGAACTTGATTCTAACCCATTCCATGTGCCAAATTTTCTGACCTTGCATTGAGTATTGCAACTCACCTAGAAGGCTTTCATGGATGGGTAAGTGAGAATCACTGGCTACATTTTGTTTCTTTCCTTTTATCTAATTTTATTGCTCTTTGTGTATATA